GAAACAAAAACAGAAATTGCTGGAAAAGTTCAGCAGACTGGCAGAGAGTTGAACTGATGGTGGTTAGGAAAAATGTCAGTTCACATGCAGATGTTAGGGTGGGGGGAAGGGGTAGACAGTAAATGGTAGGGAGGAATAGAGCCCAAAGAGAGAGAAGATTAGTTGGACAGACAAAGGATTGGATAATGATCTGGTTAAGAGGGTGAATAGCTAGTTAGTGGCCTGCAATGATCTACAGAATGTGATAGTGACAGAGACCTCAAATTCTGCATCAAGCTCATGGTCTGTAGGGCTGCAGTGTTACTTGCTTGGCTATATGTGTCACAGACATGGACAATACTCAGCAGAAGACTCAGATCCTTGGAGGCAGCAATAGCTCCACAAGATCCTGCAAATGCAAAGGCAGGATATCAGTGCCATCTTTCAGGCCACCATCCCCAGCACTGGTCAATCATCCATGTGTCTAACTCTACACAAGCTCTACACTGCCAGCTCAGATATGGCAAGCCAGTGGTTCCCAATGATGTATGGGAGGCAATTGTCCAAACCAGAGAAGGAGCCAACCATTTCCGACTGGCTCAGGAGGAGGTCAACTGCAAACGGTGGAAGGAGCAATCATCTCATTGAACAGCACCCATTTGTGTGAGGATCCACCACTGGACTGTTTGATCACCTCAGGGCCCACAACACCAAAGTGGAAGATAGTTCTCCTCCATCCTGAAGGAGTGCCTGAGGAGGAAGACCGGCAGTAACCGGTAGAGTCAGGATGGGTTGTAAATCTACATTGTGATGCTCAGCCATGACCTTCTGACACAGCGAATGCTTTCCTCCAACTCGATGCCACTTACACATTTGTAACCTCAGCCCCAGCAAGTGTGCACAAAGTGGTTGTGGGAGGCAGCAGGGCAGGAGGAGAGAGGGAAGGTAGAAAAAAAAAGCATTTGAAAATAAAATCAGTTCAGTGAGAACTCCCACATGGTTGCAGCTGCAGTACTCACTGCAAAGGCTGGTGTCTTTATTTATTCTATTGTGAATTTATTGCACAGTCGCACTTGGTGGCTGTTTACATACATGCATAATGTATAATATACAAAACTGAATGTAATCCTTCATAAGCCTACTCCTCAGGTCAGGTTTTATGGTAACTCCTTCCTTTTCAGTCACTGAATTCAATTTGATTTACTCTTCTACCCAGCAAATCCTCTTTATTTATGCATGTATGGTTAGCTGGGATTTTAATAAGGCTTCTTTTCCATTCCTTCAGAGTTTTATGGCAGTTTCCACTGTGCTGCAACTGTTTCCTTTCATCACCTGCTGCACTCAGTATCTGTGCAAAAATGAAATCACTTCACCCTTCATGACCTTAAAGCCCTTTCAATCTCTACTGTCCAGTTGTCAACTCATACCTTGTCCTGTTCAATCTTCACCACTGTAACTGTTAACTCACACTGGCTCCTAGTTAAGCAATGCCTTGATTTAAAGATTCCTATCCCATCTTATCATTTCAAACCCACTAAAAGACTCACCCTTCTCCATCTCGATAATTTCTTCCAGCCCCACAGTCCTCTTGGACTGCATTCCTCTAGTCTTGCCCCTTGTGTATCATCAGTGTTAATTGCCCCACTGTTGGGATCTGTATCTTCAGCCGTCAGGGCTCTAAGATCTGAAACTCCCTCCCTAATCCTTTTTACCTCACTTTCCTCTTTTAAAATGCTCTTTAAAACTTAGTTCTAGGCCCAAGCTTTTATCACTTGACCTGTGGTTAGCACTGCTGCCTCACAGCACCAGGGACCCAGGTTCAATTCCACCCTCGGGTGACTGTCTGTGTAGAGTTTGCACATTCTCCCTGTGTCTGTATGGATTTCCTCTGGGTGCTCCGGTTTCCTCCCACAGTCCAAAGATGTGCAGGTTTGGTGGATTGACCATGCTAAGTTACCCATAGTATCTAGGTGGGTTAGCCATGTGAAATGCATGGTTACAGGGATAGGGTAGGTGTATGGGTCTGGGTGGGATGCTGTTCAGAGGGTCAGTATGGCGTCAATGGGCCGAATGAACTGCTTCCACACTGTAGGGATTCTATGACACTAATATCTTCTTAACGTCAGGACTGGCTTGGTGGTGCTCTGGTGAAGTGCCTGGCGACATTTTGCTACATTAAAGTTGCTGTATGAATACAAGTTGTTATCCTGAGATAGTCCAGAATAATATTATCCCACTGTATCCAAGATCCCATTGCAATTTTTCGAGCAAGAGCAGGGCAATTCTCACCAACTTCCGGGGCCAATTTCTAACTCTCGACCCACATCACTAACCAAAAGATTACCTGGTTTTGCTAGTGTGGGATCTTGCTGTGCCTCAGTCAACTGTCACTTTTCCTACTTTACAGCAGTGACTACATTTGAAAAAGGGGATAGTAATGTGGGCTTATGGTGGAGGACCCTTCCTGTCTAAAGATCCATTGAGAGCAGTGAGTTTGATTTCTGTGCTGAATTTGCCTTCTTTGGAAATGCTCTCCCCTCGGAATCAGAAAAGGAGTGATTATGGAAGCCAACATTTCTCCCTTCAACAAGACAAGTTTTTAAAAGGGACCTAAGGAGCAACTTTTTTCACGTAGAGGGTGGTGCTCATTCTGGGATCATGCTGTGCACATGATCACAGTAATGATATGCATTTGAATAGTATCTTCAGGCTGTTCCCCAGAAGTCTTTATAGTCAAGGATGGACTTTTGAAGAGTAGCCTCTGTTGCAATTTAAGAAACACAGCAGCCAGCTTGCACACAGCAAGCCCCAACAAATAGCAATGTGATAATGACCCAGCTCATTCTGTTTGTCAGTGAGGGTGGTTAAAGGATTAATGTTGGCCAGGACACCAGGGAATACTCAAATAAACAATAAGTCATGTGGATTCTGGAAATCTGAAATAAACACAGAACTCAGTGAATAAACATAATTTTTCAAACTGAAGAAAAGTTGTAGAGTCATAGAGATGTACAGCATGGAAACAGACCTTTCAGTCCAACTTGCCTATGTGGACCAGAAATCCTAAATTAATCTAGTTCCATTGGCCAGCATTTGGCCCATATCCCTCCAAACCCTTTCTGTTCATATACCCAAACAGGTGCCTTTTAAATGTAATTGTACTAGCCTCCACCACTTCCTCTGGCAGCTTGTTCCATACATGCACCACCCTCTACATGAAAAAGTTGCTCCTTAGGTCCCTTTTAAAACTTCCTTCTCTCACCTTAAACCTATGTCCTTTAGTTTTGGACTCCCCTATCCTGAGGAAAAGGCCTTGGCTATTTGCCTTATCCATGCCCCTCTTGATTTTATAAACCTCTATAAGGTCACCCTCAGCCACCGATACAAATAGCCCCAGCCTATTCATCCTCTCTCTATAGCTCAAACCCTCCCATCCTGGCAACATCCTTGTAAATCTTTTCCGAACCCCTTCATGTCGGACTCGAAATGTTAACTGTTTCTCTTTCCACCTGACCTGCTGAGTTTCTCCAATGATTTCTTTTTTTTATTATTTCACTATTTCACTTCACCTGCTCTTCTTCAAACTAATGTCAGGGAAGTTTTCACATCCATCTGTTTGGCTTTAGCCAAAAGACCTCAGAGCGTGCAGCTCTCCCTCGCTATGACAGTTGGTTGGATTTTCTGACGAACCCTCAGGACTGCAACTTGAACCCACAACTTTTGGATCCAATGAGCCCTCACTGACACCAATCAGTCACCCCATGAAAAGGCAGGAAATGCTTCTGCAACAATGTAATGAGATGCTATATAAATACAAATCTTTCTCAAATTGGAGTCAAACAGCGAAAGAGAGAAAAAACACAGATAACTGAGCCCATTACAGAATCCCGAGAAGCCAATGATATTTTTCAAAATGTCTTTCATGAGGAAATTGAATGATTCTCTATCTACAGCAGGCTGAGATATTCCCCTGCTGTCCTGTTATAAATCCCATTTACTTCCACACAATATGGAATAAATTTAATTTCATTTGTTCTTTCCCTTGGCCATTGACAGGATTCATGCTTGTTCTTGTGTTGCTCTGCTCTCCTCTGTGCCTGGAAGCTGGGGTCAGATTCCATTAGTTCTCTAATAACATTTGAGGCAAAAAACATCTCTCAACTCACTTAAAAGGCACTGGATCTGCATCTGAAGTTCTGCAACGTGCAAGGCTACAGACCCAGGTGCTGGAAAGTGGGATAGAATGAGCAGCTAGTTTACTCAGCCAGCACAGACTTGATGGGCTGAATGGCCTCTTTCTGTGCTGTATTTTTCCTGCATTTCTAACATTGCACAAGTGTGAAGCCTCTTCACTCCTGGCCCCTGTGATAGCGAGGCTTGCTGCTGAAGCTGATATTCTCTACTGGGCTGTGCCATTATGTATTAAAGTAGTTTCTCAGAGTTTGCCCAGGAGAAAATGGGTCACATTGAAAAAGGGACTTTATTTCCCTCTTTCACCACCTCAGGATGTCCTGAAGCATTTTGCCTCTCCCTGGTGCCAGTCAGTTCCACCTCCCCCCCCCCCCCCCCCCCCCCCCCCCCCCTCTGCCTGGTGCCAGTCCCCCCCCCCCCCCCC